ATAGTATATTAAAGCTTTAAATACTTAGATTATAATATAATATTATATATTAATTAATATTACAAAATTCAATATAGGTGAAGAATCTGAGACTAATAAGTCTGTAAATTTGTATGCTAATTCAATTATTTAACTGCTTCAAACAATTCATTTATCAATAGTCAGCAGTTTGCAATTACAAACTTTATTTGCTAACCTCTTTCAGCTAGTGATCAAGTTCGATTTAAACAATTACTTTTAAGAATGATTGTTTTCAATACATTACTTTTTACATATATTGAGAATAAAGATACTATTGCTGTGTTTGAATTTTTACTACCAGGAATTAAATTATCTAAGCATAAAGTTATAGGTGGTAGGCATTAATGAAAAGTGTACAAATGTTACAAGAAAATATAGTTAAAATTTTAAAGAATGATACATATAAAGTAACTGCAACATTTGATAGTTGGACGAATGTAAAACGTGAACATATTTGGTGAGTTGTTTTTATAACTACAAAAGGGCAATCTCTAATTTGGGGTGCACATGATATTAGTTCTAAAAAATCTCAAACTCAAAATATAATCAATTACATTGAACAATTAATGACTGAAACTAAAAAAAAAAAATAGATATTAAAGCATTTGTTTTGGATTCTGCTAGTGAATATGCAGCTGCACAGTAAATTATTATTTTATTTTTTTTAAGTTATTTTATTAATAGTTGTTTTATTTTTGTAGCTAACAATTATGAAAAAAGTATCTATCAAAAATTTTTTTACTATGTATAGCTCACCAGATGAATTTAATATTTGGAGAGATTTTTAAAAAGTCAAATAAATATCAAAGAACATCTAAAGAGGCAATAAAAATTGTGAGTTTTTTTCACAAGACAACTTTTTTTATAGGCAATCTTAAAGATGAACAAATGCGTATTTATAAGAAATATATTGCATTAATTATGCCCGGGTATACAAGATGGAATTCATACTACTTTTGCTTTTATTCTATTGCCAAATTAAAATCTGTACTTAAGGTATAAAATTTAATAATGGTTTATAAATAATTATGGATTAGTATTTTAATTTAACTTTATTTTTTTTTATTAGTTTCTCTCCTCCAAATTTAATGACCATCATAGCAATATAATTTGAACAGATGGTATCCCATTTGAACTAGCTAATAATAAAACAACCTTATGTGATAGTACTAAAAAACTTCCAGATGACATTGCTGATATTGTAAATGATACTCAGTTTTGGATAATATTGGCCGATTGGCAAGAACTTTTATATCCTCTTTGTGGCTTTTTGAATAAATTACAAAAAGATATAGCTCGATTATATGAAGTTCTTCATTGTTTTGGGTATATTACAAAAATGTTTGAATATTATGAAAACTCTAAATTTGGAGAAAAAATGAAAACATGTATTGAATTATGCTAGAATGAATGAGAGCAACTCTTAATAATTCTTTCTTTTGTACTATATTTCAATTACAAACTTACTAAATTTAATAGTATAGTTTCTAATCTATTCTAGACACATATCGGGCAATAGCTTAAATCTTATTATGAAGCATGGTTTAATTATAAACCAGTATTGATCTTGGCTGAATTAATAAAATATAAATGGAGAGCTGATCTATATGATATAGAATTATTTAAACAATTCAAAGGAGATTTAGTAGATTTTTGGAAGTCAACTAAAGGAATAAGTAAAGAATTAGCACGAGTAGCAATTTGTATTCATTGGAATTTGTATTAACTCTGCAGCTGTAGAACGCAGAGTTTAAAATTCAGCTCAAAATCTTCTTGCACAATTGCAGTTGTGGCGCAAGTTTTTATTGCACAAACCAAATACTAGTTGCATACGTGCATATATCCATTTTTTTGTGTATATGCACTAATATTATCTTTATATGATCCTACTTTGATTTTTCGGAATAATTCGGATATTTTCTCAAATTTTATGCTGGACCTTGCTCGTATTTTACGTTCATTTATTTTCCTTTCGGAACTTTTCGGAATATCCTTCTCATCCCACATTTATTCTAATTTTTATGCAAAAATATTTCATAATTTATCTTGCACATTATTTTTTGTGCAAGCCTCTTATTCAAATTTAATTGCACACTTGTGCATATACATTTAGAACTTCTCCTGCATAAAAAAAAAACTACTTGCACATGTGTATTTTGTGCAAGCCAATTTTAAACCCTGGTAAAACATTTATAGTCTTCCATAGGGTTATTATATACTAATCACAGAGTTCAGTTACAGGTCTGGTTATTTTAAATTTTATTTATATAATAATTAGACTAATTCTAATTGATATTTTTCTACAATATTACAGCAAAATAAAGTTTTGGCGATGAGCCAAATTCAGAGTGATATTCTTTAATCTCGTAAAATAAAAACAGCAAAAGAATATAATAACCAAATTCGTAGACTACATATTGCAATACCTATATTATCGAATGATGAAAGTAGCGAACAAAAAAAAATAATCTTCAATAATTCAGATTATCAAATAAGTGATGATGGTAATATTGAAAAAAAAACAATTGCCAGATCTTATAATCAGACAAATCAAAGTCTTGAGAAAAATGAGAATTTAGTTGAAAATAAAGAACAAAGGTGGGAAAGCCTAATTAGTGAATGGATTGAACTTGGAGAACATGAAAACCAATTTGAAAACAAGGATGATGAAATCTTATTGTTAAATAAATACCATATGTTTCTGAAAATAAGCTACCCCCTCTTTTCTTGGAGAAGAAACATAAGAAAAATCTTTATTCCAAAAATAAGCTACCCCAATAATTTTTTAAAATCCGGAAGTAGTTTCTATATATAAAAGTCAAGATTCTACTAAGTAAATCGATGAAAGTCACTTAATAGAGGTTGTTCAGGACGTAAAAATACACATATTCTGAAAGTTTGAAGCAAATCAGAGAACTTTTTACTAATAT